GACTCAATGGCAGTGAGTGAGAATATATACAGTTTGGTGGTTTTTAGTACATTCATAAAGATGTGCAACCATGACTGCTACCAAATTCCAGAACATTTTCATCATCTCCAAAAGAAGACTCCATACCCATTAGTAGTCACTTCTCAGCAGCCCAACGCAACTGCTAATCTGCTTTTATGTCTCTCTGGATGTGCCTATTCTGGACATCTGATATAAATGACATCACACAACAAACGGCCTTTTGTGCCTGGCTTCTCTCGTGTAATGCAATGTTTTCAAGGTCCATTCATGTTGCAGTATGTATCAGCACTTCATTCCTTTTTGCAGTTGAATAATATTCCACTGGATGGATATACCACATTATGTTCATCCATTTGTCAGTTGATGCGTATTTGGGTTGTTTCCAAGTTTGTGGCTATTGTGAATGATGTTGCTATGAACTTTTTTTTTTTTTTTTCCCCCTTTAGGATGAATTCTCACAGTGGGATTGATGGGCTCAGGGTCATTCAAACTATCAAGGGTTTTTGTGTTTATTAACGAAATTGCCTCCTAAGATGCACCAGTTCAAATTCTCACAAACACACCACCATATGCTTGTTTTCCTTGAGACATTGCCATCGTGAGCTATGAGTACTTAAAACAAAATTTAAAAATCCACCAGTGTGATAGCAAATCACTCCACAGAAGGTCATCCTTTAAATTTCCATTTTATATTTATTATTCCAATTAAAAAAGTAGCACAGTTTATTACAAAATATTCAAATACATAAAAGAGAAAATGTGAATCCCATGTAGTCCTATGCCTAAAAGGAACCACTAATAGCTACTTGATACATAGTATGTTTGATTCCTGTCTAGATATATATTAACATAAGCAATTACAACAATTATTAGTATTATTGCTATCATTTTACAGAAACTCTGACATTCTTATATACTGATTTTAAAATTTTTCGCTCAGCAGTATACACAGGCTGTCTCCCCACAGCAGTATCTGCACATCTAATTTAGTCCTTTTAATGGCTGCATGTTATTTCTCAGTATGGCTATAAAATATTTAAATAATCATCTATCATTGGACTTTAAGGTATTCCCAATAATTTAAAATACAATAATGTTTATTCAAAAATTCACAATTTTGGAATATTCTTGCACATACATTTACATAATAAATACAAATATGGATACTTATTATGAATGCTGTATTATATGCATATAAGATTTTTCAAAGGAGAAATTGCTGTCTTCTATTTAAACTTGCATTTCTTGAATTATCTCTTTGAAAATTTTTTCAAAATATTTCTTGAATACCTTCTTGCAGGCTATCAGTCAGTCATATTTCTTCAGTAGCCTTCCTGGTCATGACCATTTTCCTTTTGTTTTTCTCTTTTGATTATTCATTATTTTAGAAAAACTCACTGCCATTGACTTGATTCTGACTCATAGCGACCCCCTTTGGGTTTCTGAGGCAGTAAATCTTTATGGAAGTAGATTGCCCAGTCTTCCTTCTGTAGAGTGGCTGGTGGGTTTGAACCACCACCTTCTGGTTAGTGCCTTAGGCACTACACCACCAGAAAGCCTTTATAAATTACACTGGTGGTGTAGTGGTAAAGGCATTTGGCTGAAAACCAAAAGGTGGATGGTTCGAATCCACCAGCCTCTCCGTGGGAGAAAGATGGAGCAATCGGCTTGCATACAGATTTACAGCCTTGGAAACCTAACGGGGTCGCCATGAGTTGGAATCAAGTCCATGGCAGTGAGTTTGGTTTGGTGAGTTTATAAATTACACTGCAAATATTTTCCTCCATATTTCTATCTGCTTTTAAAACTTGAGTATGGTTTTTTTTATTTGTTTGTTTTGATTGTGGTATAAATGTTGTTGTTGTTTGTTGTTATGTGCCGACTCATATGCATACACAAATGTGTGCCTTCTCAGTGGTCTCTACATGAATAATCCAATGGCATTGTTTACATTCTTTGTGCTGGGCACTTGTTCTCACCCTCCTTTTCCCAATTATTCCATCACCATGAACATAAACTCAATGCTGCCCTAAGCAAAGACTCCCCTTGCCCCTTCCCTCCACCCCTGGTAACCACTAATAATCTTTGTTCATTTCATATAAATGAGATCACACAATATCAGTCCTTTCATGACTGACTTATTTCACTCAGCACAATGTCTTCCAGGTTCTCCTGTGTGGTGGCACACACCAGGACTTCACTCCTCTTTGTGGATGAGTAGCATTGAACTGTGTATAGAGAGCACGTCATGCTTCTCCACCATCTGTTCACGGACATTTCTGTGGTTTCCACCTTTTGGCTACTGTGAAAGGGCTGCAAGGAACATTGGTGTACAGTTTCTGTCTGTGTCCCTGCCTTCACTTCTCCCAGGTTTCCACCAAGGATTGGGATTGCTGGGTCATAGTTCCATGATTAATTTTTCGAGGAACCACAAAACTATTTTGCACAGTAACCATGCCACTTACATTTCCACCAACAATGAATGAGGGTTTTTGTTTCTCCACAACTTCACCACCACCTGTGGTTTCTGTCTTTTTGGTTTTTGATCATTGCTACTCTAATAGGGGTGAAGTGATACTTCATTGTAGTTTTGACTTGCATCTCCCGAATGCCTAGTGAAAGGAGCTCTGGTGGTGTAGTGGTTAAGGCATTTGGATGCTAACCAAAATGTCAGTGGTTCGCAGAAGAAAGATGAGGCAGTCTGCTTCCATAAAGATTTACAGCCTTGGAAACTCAATGAAGTCACTACGAGTCAGAATCAACTCAATGCCAGTGTTTTTTTTTTTTTTTTTTTGAATGACTGAAAAGAAGCCTGGTTGTATGACAGTTGAACACTCAGCTGCTAACTGAAAGGTTGGTGATTTGAACCTACACAGTGGCTGTGCAGGAGAAAGAACTGAAGGTCTGCTTTCATAAGGGTAAGAGCCTTAAAAACCCTGCAGTTACATGCCGTCACATGTGTTCTCTACGAGTAAAAACTGACTGAGCAGCACACAACAACAACAACAACTAGTGATGTCGAGTGTGTCGTGTGTGTGCTGTTGGTGATAAGTTTTCAAATTGGGAGCAGGCTAATGCCCAGTTCTCTCTGGAAGGACTCAGTGTAGATGCAGAGTCTTCCTTAATGCTGTGTGGACCTCCTTGTTCCGCAGGCAGTAGATAATTGGACTGCACATGGGCGTGACCACCGTGTAGATGACTGACAGCAATTTGTTGAGGTCTGTGGATTTGATGCGGCTGGGTCGGGAGTACATGAAGAGGACCACTGAGTAGAAGATGCCCATTACCACCAGGTGGGAGGCACAGGTGGAGAGGGCTTTGCAGCGGGCAGTGGCTGAGGGCATACGGAGCACAGTCTTACCAATGGCCAGATAGGAAACCAAGGCAACTAGTAATGACCCACAGAAGATGATGACGGTGGAGATGAAGTCCACCAGCTCTGTCAGGGCCATGTGGGTGCAAGACAGGCTGAGCAGAGGGGAGACATCACAGAAGAAGTGGTTGAGGACATTGGGGCCACAATAGAAGAGGCTTGTGATGCATGTTGTCTTAATCACAGAGAAAATAAGACCACCAAGCCATGAAGTCATGGCCAAGCTCAGGCAGACATGGGGCTGCATGAGTAGCGGGTAGTGGAGTGGGCGGCAGATGGCCACGTAGCGGTCATAGGCCATGGAAGCTAGGAGAGTGCACTTGGTACCGATAAGGGATACAAATAAAAATAGCTGAAATGTGCAGGCTGTGAAGGGCACATGCGAAGGCCCTGTCCACAGCCCCAGGAGCAGGCTGGGCATGGTCACTGACATATAGCACATCTCCAGGCAGCTGAGGTTGCCCAGGAAGAAATACATGGGCTTGTGGAGCTCACTACGGATGCAGATGAGGTAGATGATGAGAGTGTTCTCCAGGAGGGTCAGCAGGTAGAGGGTCAGGAAGACGGCAAACAGGGCGTCTCGTAAGCCAACCCCCGTGGATAAACCCAGCAGGATGAACTCCTGGACTCTGGTCATGTTGTCTGACTCCAGAGACCTCTCCATCTAAGTGAAAAAAGAAATAGGTTTGTAGAGACTTGGTCCATGCAGAAATAGTGGTAACATACAGCGGTGAAGAGGGATAATGTGTATCTTTCCCAGGAGCCAATGTAAGTGCTACACATGGATTTTCATTGGGTGGACCAGTCGGGGAGCCATTGGACAACAGGAAAATTGTGAACAGAAGTCTTAACACATACATTCACGAAGTCTGTGATCTCATGCAAGTCATCTGACCTTTGTGAACCTGACTGATTTAATCTGTAAAATAGAAATGAAATCTACCAACATGATGTTCCTTGTTGTTTCACCGAGTCATTTGTACCACCAAGTCAGTTTCAATGCATAGCGGCCCTAAGTACAACCGCACCATAGGGATTCCTAGGCTGTGATGTTTACGGGGCAGATCACCAGGTCTTTCTCCCATGGAGCTATTGGTGGGTTTGAACTGCTGGCCTTTTGGTTAGCAGCTGAGTGCTTAACAGTTGCACCACCCAGGCTCCTTACTCCCTACGAATATTAAACATGACAGTAGATGAGAAGGTCCTATGTAAAACAAGGAACAATGGTTATTTCTGTTAGTTTTGGGTGGACTCAAATCTCCAACCTCTCAATTAGCAGCCAAGGACGTGGATGGTGGCACCATCCAGGGACTCATACCCAGACAACAGGGTCAGAACGGTTAAGTGATTTGTCCAAGGACACACAGTTTGGAAACTGAAATTCTGTCTGACTCTTAAAGCTAGTGGTACCTGTCTATTGGAGATTTGTCCGCTGCTCCATGCTGTAGGAAAAGTAGGGAAGTAGGGTTTTTCCTTTGTGGTATTAATATCAGGAATCAAATTTGTTTATATTAGGCAACTGAGATGTGGACAGTAGACTATTTTGGCCTATCTCTGACTTATAGAAAAGAGAAAATATAGAAATGAGAGAATTTTAGAGACTAAGTGCTAAGGAGAAAGCAAAACAGGATGGATGGAGTTAGCAATGTCTACCAACCAACCAACTAACCAACTAACCATCCAACCAACCAACCAACCAATCAACCAACAGTTGCTGTTGAATCCATTTCAATTCATGGCACTCATGTGTTTCAGAGTAGAACTGCTCTATAGAGTTTTCATGACTGTGACCTTTTGGAAGCAAACCCCCAGGGCTCTCTTCTGAAGTGCTTCTGGGGGTTTGAACTGCCAACATTTTGCTTAATAGCCAAGATCTTAACCATTTACACTACCCAGGGACTGCTGGCAATGTCTTAAACCAAAACCAAACTCACTGCCATTGAGTCGATTCCAACTCATAGCAACCCCATAGTGTTTCCGGGGCTGTAAATCTTTACAGAAGCTGACTGCCTCATCTTTCTTCTGTAGAGAGAGCAGCTGGTGGGTTGGAACACTGACCTTTTGGTTAACAGACAAACTTCTTAATCACCACACCTCCAGAGCTCTTTCTGGCAACACCTAGAGGAGGCTATTTTGGAATGGACCATTGGAGAATGGCACTGTGAGGAGGGAGGTGATATTTAAGTTTACTCTTGAGTGCTGAGAAAGGGTAAGCCATACACTGAACTGGTGGAAGAATATGTCTGGCACAGAAGAAAAGTAAGTGCCAAAATCTTGAGTCAGGAAGGAGCTTGGCACCTTCATGGGAAAGAAAACCCAGTGTAGCTGATGGACAGAGAAAGGAGAGGGGGAGGAAAATTAGGTTTCTTCTAATCTATATATTTGGGAGCTCTGGTGGCATAGTGCCTAAGGCATTTGACTGCTACCCAGAAGGCTGGTGGTTCAAAGCCACCAGCCACTCCTCGGAAGGCAGGTTGGGCAATCTACTTCCATAGAGATACTGCCTCAGAAACCCAAGGAGGGGTTGCTATGAGTTGGATCTGACTCAATGGCAGTGAGTTTATTTTGTGGGTTTTTTAATCTATATATTGAGAAAAATTGGCTTCCTACAGCCCCACACCATCTCACCTTCCTCAGAGTATTCTCGTCTTCAAGTTAAACTTTCCCATTGAAAATTAACTTTCAGAATAATGAAATAGAGAGCCCCTAAACACACCCACAAGGAGCTCTGGTGGCATAGTACCTAAGGCATTTGCCTACTGAGCAGAAGGTTGGCTGTTCAAACCCACCAGCCACTGCATGGAAGGAAGGCCATCTACTTCTGTAAAGATTTACCACCTAAGAAACCTAATGGGGGTCGCTATGAGTTGGAATTGACTCGATGGCAGTGAGTTTGTTTTTGTTTTTTTTTTTTGGAAACACATGACAAACATGTGGATTTGATTTGGGACATCATTTGTATCACAGATCAGTAGAGATGATATGGAGTGATCAATATGTGATGAATGGAATATTAGTTACCAAAAGAGAAAAAAGAAAAACAATAAACTGAACCCCTAATTACACCATATGCACGAGAAAATCAATTTCAGGTGAACTGAAAACATAACTGTGAAGTGCAAACATCTAAAAGATTATAAAACAATCAAAGGATATCTTGGGATTACAGAAAACAAAACCAATGAGGGAAAAGAATTTTAAGCCTGTCCACAGGAAAATCATTCCCACTTACATGAGATATCTGAAATAGGCAAGTGTGGGGACCAGGGTCTACTAGTGGGTACCAGGGGTGCTGAGGCAAAGGGGGAAAGTGGAGAGTCATTGTTTAGGGGACACTGAGTCTCTATTAAGGGTGATAGAAAAATTTGGAAAGGAATAAGGGTAATGGTTCAACATGATAAATATAATAAGTATCACTGATTGTCTATGTGAAGAATGTTAATGAGAATTGTTTTGTTGCACATATATTTACCACACACACAAAATATTGGTAAATCCACTCCAGGAATGTATAAAGATAAAAAAAGAATTATGATCACCATATAAAATCAAAAGAAAAGTTGCAAGCTGGGAAAATATATTTGTAATACTTATAAGTGACAAAATATTCCTATGTAGGTTCTACAAAGAAATCCAACAATCAATCAAGATGTAAATGTTTTTTACATTAAAGAAATGGACAAAAGGCCAGAGCAGATACCTCAATAAAGAATAACTATTCAGAGCTAAAACCAGGAATGCATGCTTATCTCATCAGCTACCAAGGGAATTGAAACCAAGGTTAGAGATAGTTCCACGTCCACGGAATCAGCACAAATCTGTTGTTGCTGCTGGGTGCCGGGGAGTCGATTTCGGTTCATGGCGACCCCACATGATGGACTAGAAGTGCCCCACAGCATTTCCTAGGCTGTAATCTTTATGGGATCCCATCACCAGGTCTTTCTCCCATGGAGCGGGTCCCCACTGCCAAACCAAACCCACTGCCATCCAGTCAATTCTGACTCATAGCCACCCCCATTGGGTTCCTAAGGTGGTAAACCTTTGTGGAAGCAGATTGTCCCATCTTCCTTCTGTGGAGCAGCTGGTGGATTTGAACTACCAACCCTCTAGTTAGCAGTCTTCTAGTTAGACACTGCGCCACCAGAGCTTTCAGAGAGCTGATGTTGTTGTTGTTGTTGTTATGTGTCGTGGAGTTGGAACCGACTCATAGCGACCCCTCCTTGAATTTCTGAGGCAGCATCACTATGGAAGTAGATTGCCCAACCTTCCTTCTGAGGAGTGGCTGGTGGCTTTGAACCACCAGCCTTCCAGTTAGCAGTCAAATGCCTTAGGCACTAGGCCACCAGAGCTCCCATAGCTGATAGGTGGGTTCAAACCACCAACCTCTCAGTTGGCAGCTGAGTGCTAAACTGTTATGCTGCTAAGGCTCCTTTTAGCACAAAGCTAAACCTCTGAAAATAATAAAACTAGCAAGGTTTGTAGCTGTGAAACCATTAATCCACTCCTGGGAGTGTGAAGTGGCATGATCACTTGAGGAAGCACTGTGGTTATCTGGTGAATTTGAGGACATGACCGCGACCCACACATTCCATGTCCAGGCAGATATTCAGGGTAAGGTTCACAGCAGGCTTGTTTGACCAGCACAGAAACGAGGACTGCACAAGTCCCAAGTGTCCATCCACAGTGCAATTAATCAACCGATTGTGGTCTCTTTACGCAATGCAGTACTGTGCTGTAGATAAATGAATGAACTGGGACCACACCTAACAGCGTTAATGAATCAATAGAAAATGGGTGATACTGAGAAAAAGTTTGAGAGGTATGCAGACAATATAATTCTATACGTGAAGCTCTAGCTGTGCAACAGCAAAGAATTTAAGCGTGTTGTTTAGGGACACAAAAGCATGTGATCACAGAAAGTAGGAGAACGGTGGGCCTAAAATTCAAGATGGGGTTCCTTCTCAGAGAGACAGGAGGAGAGGAAACAAGAGGGACTTACGGGGACTTTGATGGTGACAGTTATGTTCTTCTTAACGTGGCTGGTGAGCACAGGGCTCACGGCCTTGCTGAGTTCATGCCCTGTGTGGAGACGTTAGCAGGAGCGAGGACATCACACTCGGTGAAGTCAAGGGCCAGTGAAAAAGAGGAAGACCTTCCATGAGATAGAGCGACACAGTGGCTGCCGCAATGGGCTCACACAAAGCAATGATTGTGTGGCTGACACAAGACCAGACAGTGTTCCATTCGGTCGTACGTGGCGTCACTAGGAGTCAGAACTGATTGTCAGCACCTAACAACAACAACACACCTGTGTTTTAAGTTCTACTCTATCCACTCAGTATTTATCTAAAAGACGTTTCAAAACTATCTTCTGCATATGTTGAAATGTATATAACTATACACTAAAAAAGCCAAGTGCACTGTGGGTTCATTTCAAAATAAAGATAAAGATAACGTCTCACTCCTGACTTCCAATACCCTTATTCTTTTCCCCAGAGGTAACGAATATCCTAAGTTGTTTGTGCCCACTTTGCAGGAGCGTCGCCAGCCCATTCTTGCGTTTCTGTGTAGACGGTGGCTGTTAGGTGGCGACCCTGTCTGCAGCAGCACTGCCGTGCGAGCCTGCTCCAGCCTCACAGCTATGGCTAAGTTTGACCCCTCGTT